TATCGGGTCATCAATGAGGGAAGAAGAGACTTTAAACCTAGGATCTCTCTTTGTAAAGATGAAAATGGAACTATTGTTAATGAGAGAAATAAAATTATGGACAGATGGGTTGAACACTTTGACCATTTACTTAACTCCAATGAGTCAAGTGAATTAAATTTTACGGTCAACAATATCAATGATACACTGGTTGACACTCCGACCCTGGAAGAGGTACAACACGCTATCAACAAGCTGAAATGTAATAAAGCGGCAGGACCAGATGATATCCCAGCTGAAATTCTAAAATATGGTGGGAACGCTATTGTAAACAACATCTGGAAAATTATTCTATCTAGTTGGGAGAGAGAGATATTATCTACTGAATGGAAGTTGAGTATTTTATGTCCAATACATAAAAAAGGGGATGTATTGGACTGTCACAACTATAGAGGAATAAGTCTGTTATGCATTGCCTATAAGGTCTTCTCAAATATCCTATTTGAACGTCTGTCTCGCATTGTAGACAGCGTCATAGGTGACTATCAGTGTGGCTTCCGCAAAGGAAGGTCCACAGTTGACCAAATCTTCACCCTATGACAAACTTTGGTGAAATGTAGAGAATTTGGAATAGAGATCCATCATTTATTTGTGGATTTTAAGGCGGCATATGATAGTATTAATAGGACTGAGCTATTAAGGACCCTATATGATTTTAATATTCCATCGAAATTGATCAGACTTATAATGCTCACACTCACTGAAACCATTTCAACAGTATGAATTCAAGGGGAATTATCTACTTCTTTTGAAATTCATAATGGAGTTAGACAGGGAGATGCATTAGCATGTCTTCTGTTCAACATAGCCTTAGTAAAAGTTATTAGAGATGCTGGCATAAATACTACAGGTACTATATTTAATAAATCAGTGCAGATTTTGGCATATGCCAATGATGTAGATATCATCGCAACATCTAGGACAGCACTGAGTGAAAATTTTTTGGCACTGGAAAAATCAGCTAGAAAAATTAACTTAAGAGTGAATGTGGAGAAAACAAAATATATGTATTGTGGTACAATGGAAACCATCCCTAAATTGTTTAAAATAGATTCTTTTAAATTTGAATCTGTAAAAAATTTTACTTATCATAGAACAGAAATAAACTATCAAAATGACATCAATCCTGAAATCAGAAAAAGAATAATCGCTGCTTCTAAGGTTTAAGATCATTATTGAAATCTCACTTAATAAAAAGAAAGACTAAGATCTTAGTTTATAAGGTATTAATCAAGTCAGTTTTGACTTATGCTTCAGAGACATGGACTTTAACAAAAAGGGAAGAGAAGTTATTAGCAACCTTCGAAAGGAAGGTCCTACGAACCATCCTTGGCCCTATACTCGATAAAGACAACTGGAGGAAAAGATATAATTTTGAAATATATAGGATCTTTGATAGAGATGATATCATGTAATCTATTAAATTAAGTAGAATGAGATGGGCCGGGCATGTAGTGAGAATGAGCCCAGAACGAACAGCATTGAGAGTCTCTAATGTAATCCCCTCCAATAAAAGGCCAAGAGGAAGGTCTAAAAAGAGATGGAAGGACTGTGTGGATGAGGATTTTGCCATCCTAAAAGTAAAGAACTAGAAAATAATTTCTGGGAGAAGGGCAGAATAGGAAAAGCTTCTGAGGAAGGCCCAGGCTCACAAAGGGCTGTCGTGCCAATGCTGATATATATATATGTTTAATAAATATAGTAAATAAATGTGTGTGAAAACAGAAAGATTAATAAACTTGCTCCTTTCACATGACTGCATTTATATTTTATAATGCTTGAGTTAAAAATTGTGAAACATTATGTACTTAACAATAAAGATGATTTATATATGTATTAGTGAAAATGGGTTTTTTAAACTTAATATAAAATACTTACAACAAAATTAAAATAACTTTTTGGATTTATTTATATTTTTAAGCTTATACAACACTTTTTAATAATAAAAAAATATTTACACGGTATAACTTAAAGTTTATGAGCACTAAATGAAAAAACCAAACCCAATTTCCCCCGGGTTTTCTCAAATAAAATCCAATTTTCCCCAGGTTTTTTCAATAAAACCAAGGCGGGTTGGGTTTTTTCAAACCCTGCATAAACATCTAGCCACTAAACCCAAAACATTGGGTTGGCTGTTCAACCTCGGTTATAAAATAAAATGCATACCTGAGTATCTTGATTCTGAACAACAGCAGCAGCTTTAATCCGTCCTTTGGTATTGAAACGTTTCCTTAAATTATCCATTTCCTACTTTTTTCTGCTAATATTAAACCTATAATAGTTTAAATTACAAATATAAAAACAATTTTCCACATGCTGAGAATAGAAGCACATGAATATAATACAAAATTAGTCTAATATTACAGTGTACATTATACATTATAGTTCCATTGCTTGCAGTAATGTAATTTTTTACATAATTGAGAAGGATGTCTTGGTACCATAATAACAATCGAACCTCATTAATGCGAAACCGCTTAAAGCGAAATATCGCTTTACATAATTCACAAGTTTAGTCCTGTGAGTCAGCAATCAGTCATTATTGTATTTTACTTGTTTAATGTGAAATTTTCAAGCTGATTATCACTTAACATGAAAGGAAACTGTACAGTTAATAAGCACGTGAATAAAATCCCAATAATTTATTTTTTTCCTTTGTTAGAAATAGAAGATGGGCAACAAATAAAATAGTTTAATTAAAGTAGTTAAAGCTTATTTTAATTTGTTTGGTTCATCGTTTGCATACATTAATGTAGTACCTACATAACATGTATTAATAATACTTAAAAAAATTATTTTCCTGATTCATCGGACAAAACAAAATTCGGTTAACATGAAATAATTATGATAGTCCCACCGGTTTCGCGTTAATGAGGCTCGGCCATATTTTGGTTTTAATAACTAGGTTTTTATTTTGCCATAAATGTCATTACTATTAAGTAAAGTAATTTTACCATAATTTATTTCTAATGGTAAACAAACCATCAAAACAAATTGCTATTCTAATGTTGGACCATCGTAAATCTGTGCAAATTCTTACAGTGGGGTGATGGTTACTATAAAAAATATAATAGTTCATAAAGGAATTACTGATGGTTACCATCAAGATTATGTTGGTCCATCAATGGAAACCCATCAGGAATTCTGACTAGGGTAAACATTATGGACTAAGAATTGTCAAACGTCATCTATCTAAAGTAGTGGTGGGGAAACTTTTTTTAAGATGGGCCATTTGTAATAACTAGACAATCGTAGTGGGCCAAAGAATAACGCTTAATCGTTAAAAAATTTATGTGTTCTATAAACATATACATATATTATTACATACACTTATTATTTTAATAGTAAAAAAGCAAAAGGTAAGAAAATTATGAGCACAAAATATAAAATGAATTTAGTGTAGTTCTTGATGTGAAGTATTATCAGTTTATTAGTGATGTAACGAATAGTGATGGGGCCGAATTACCGAATATTCGGCCAAATTTTAGGCCGAATACTTACTTTTTAAAAATTTCGCTTTTGATTGTAATTAAAGTAATTTTCAAATTTTAATTTAAAAATGAAATAAATATTAACAAGATTGCTTTTTTAATCTTTGTATATTTAAAAATTTTTTAACAACTTGATTTATTTTTTGTAATAATTTAAATATCTTGATGCCAATTACAAGGCAATATGGCTTTTATAAATCTAAATAATTAATAATAGCATATTTTAGTTATAGTTATACTTGTAATTTATATGCTATTTTATTTAAGATAAGAACTCATTACTTACTCATTGCTAAATGTATTCTTAACTTTCTTTTTTGTCAGAAAAATTATTAAAACTCAGAAAATTAAGAACTTTTTAAAAAGTTTCACTTTTGAAATTTTAATTTTGTAATTAAATAATTTTCAAATTTTAAATTAAAAATGAAATAAATATTAACAAA